TTTTTTTTTTTTTTTTTGAGCCATTGGGTGCCATTTACCTAGGTAGAAAAATTTGGAGGTGGGAAGAAAATGTGGAACACTGTTTTGGAGAGATTAAGTGTGCAGTGCTTACAAGAATCCTACTAGAGTCAAATGGGCACTTAACACTAGTCGTGTATATTGATTTTCTTTAGAGATGTGGGCATTTTTAATACTCTCGAATATGATTCTCTAAATAAGAACACTTTTTTTTTATAGTTGCTGAAGACCCCGCAAAGTCGCTTACAGAGATATCTCCAGACTTTGGACATGCTTCACCACCACTGCAACCTCCTTCCATGAACTCATTATCTACCGAGAACAGATTTCACTCTTTACCATTCAGTCTGACCAAGATGCCCAATGCCAATGGAAGCATTGGCCACAGTCCGCTTTCTCTGTCAGTTCAGTCCGTAATGGGAGAGCTAAACAATGCCCCTGTCCAGGAGAGTCCACCCTTGGCCATGGCTTCTGGGAACTCCCATGGTCTGGAAGTGGGCTCACTGGCTGAAGTTAAAGAGAATCCTCCTTTCTATGGGGTAATTCGTTGGATCGGTCAGCCGCCAGGACTCAACGAAGTGCTAGCTGGACTGGAACTGGTAATTGAATTTGACTTAAACATTGCAGCTCTTCTCTCTCTGGAGTTTTGTGCAGTTTTTTCCCACTTATGCTTTTTTTGTGTCCAAATGTTCTATTCATCAAAAAAGCCGTCACTAGAGAAAAATTTTATTACTGTGTTGCCTGGCTTCTTTGGCACCCATGAAGCATCCGGTCTATTTGTTCCTGATGTCAGTTGATCTGTGTTCAAGGAATGAAAATAGATTTTTAGGCTAATGTGTTTAGACTCATTATATTAAGCAACATAGAGTAAGAAAAGCAAATCTGTTATCAGCTTTCTTTTTCTTCCTCAGTCTCCCTCCCCGACTCAGTTCTAATATTTATATCATACATTGTAAGATTAATTGCTGTTTTTAGAGATTTTTTGAGATCTTAGTAGAGGGAAAGGTTTTCCGTTTGGAGATTAGGAAAGCATATTGTTTGGCATTTCACGATCTGGAGAGGATACTTTGAGTACCCCTAGCTTTTATTTATAAGATGTAAAATACTAAAAATTTAAATGTTTGCATGCTAGTGAATGCTACTTTGGGGGAGGTTGTTAAAATAAACAGCCTCTGCCTCTTAGTTCCAGTACATGTGGAGTTGATGTGGGGAAGTCACACCTTTTAACCAGGGAAGGTCTAAGCATACATTCTGGAAGGAAATGCAGTGAGGACTTCATGCTGGAGTCAGGAATTTCTTAAATGATCAGTTGTGGGCAGAAGCGCTGCTTAGCCCACCCCTTTTTCCTGATGGAGTTCTCGGGACAGGATTCCGTGATGACGGAATTCTGAGAAAGGTGAACCAGAAACCAATTGTAGAAACCATAATGCTGCGTATGCTGTGCTGCACGGTGCAGAATAACGTATATCGAAGCATTTCTTTTCCAGGAAGATGAATGTGCGGGCTGTACAGACGGAACCTTTAGGGGCACACGGTACTTCACTTGTGCCCTGAAGAAGGCGCTGTTTGTTAAGCTGAAGAGCTGCAGGCCCGACTCGAGATTTGCATCCCTGCAGCCAGTTTCCAATCAGATCGAACGCTGTAACTCGCTGGGTATTTGATGCGTTTCATTTCCTTACAAATCTGCAATAACTCTGGTTCTGATCTCAGGCCATTTTGCAGTAGGCCACAGTGACAGCGTTTCAATATATTTCTGGCCAACGTTCATCAGGCTTGTAAATCAGTTAAAAGTGCTGCTTGGTGTCTAAGAGAGTGACAATGGTCCCAAGAGGGGACTTTTGAAAAAACTATTAGTCAGGAAAACAGTTTTCTCTTCCTGTTGGTTTCTGGCATTTAATTAAAAAAAAATTTTTTTTTAATGTTTGTTTATTTTTGAGAGAAAGAGAGAGTACAAGCAGGGGAGGGGTCGAGAGAGAGGGAAACACAGAATCGAAGCAGGGTTCAGGCTCTGAGCCGTCAGCACAAAGCCGGATGCAGGGCTCGAACTATGCTCTGCGAGATCATGACCTGAGCCGAAGTCAGACACTTAACCAATAGAGCCACTCAGGCGCCCCTGCCGGCATTTAATTTTTAAAAACACAGAGGTAGAAATTGAATTGTGGCCTTCTTTTGGCCCTGACTACCTTCCCGATGTATCATAAAAGCATATCAATAACCATATCTGATTAAGAAGGTCAGCATTATTATATGAAGCAGTTTTGCGATTGATTGATAAAGGACAGATCCCCTTCATCACTTGTAATGGGTGACAGTTTCTTGATGTTCTCCCTTTCCAGTTTTGGGTAATAGTCGTGAAGCATCTTGAGGGTTAAGTGACTATGAAGAACATTTTTCCTTACAGTTGAAGTACATTTTTTTCCAAAACTTTGGAAATTTTTGTTTTCTGACTTGAAGACGAAGCATCTCAGATAAATAAAATATTTGGGGAACAAAATATTTTACTTGGCACGTGTTTTTTATACACTACTGAGTACTCTAAGGTGTTTTTTAAGTGGTGGAGGAAGTGGGGCGCCTGGGTGGCTCAGTCGGTTAAGTGTCCGGCTTCGGCTCAGGTCGTGATCTCGCGGTTTGTGGGTTCGAGCCCCGCCTCGGGCTCTGTGCTGACAGCTCGGAGCCTGGAGCCTGCTTCGGATTCTGTGTCTCCCTCTCTGTCTCCGCCCCTCCCTCACTTGCACTCTGTCTCTCTCTCTTTCTCTCTCAAAAATAAATAAACATTAAAAAAAACTAAAAAAATTTAAGCGGTGGAAGAAGTGAGATTGAAAATGAACACTACCATTTTCACTGGCCACGCTGAAGAACCATGAAACCAAACCCACCTTTAACTTAGTTTTAAGTTGGGAAACAGATTTTGCCTCACAATACAAAAATGTATCTTAAAACGAAGGAGTCTGTCAGAGTACATGTTGTAGTAGTCGAAAAGGACGCTTTTCATTTTCATTTTTATGTTGGCAGCATTCGGAGGCTACTTGAGTGAAGTAGTGGAAGAAAATACCCCACCCAAAATGGAAAAAGAAGGTTTAGAGATAATGATTGGAAAGAAGAAGGGTATCCAGGGTCATTACAATTCTTGTTACTTAGACTCAACCTTATTCTGGTAAGTTTAAAATTAGCGCGGAGACATGTGTGCACGTGCGTGTGCGTGCGAGGAGCCGCTAACTGCCTCTGAGTAAAGAAACTAGGTGGCTGGGGAACAGGGAAAAAGGGAGGTTTACATTTCACTGTATACCCTTGGAAGCTACTGAACATCGTCTCAGGGTGCTTGTGTTAACAAATTAATATAAAAGTAATGTGGTGAATGATCAGTAAGAACGATAGTGTTATAGGTGGGACAGATATTCTGAGGGTGTCTGGGAAGCCGTGTAACTGAAGACAGGAAGTACAGTATCTTTGTCACGTATCAAACAACATGACTTGATAAGTCATTGGCTGCTTATGTGTTTGCATAAGGAGGAAGTGTTTGCTTCCTTCGCTAGGTCAAGGCAATCGTAAGGCAGCTTTATGTTAAAGAATTACTTTCAGTAGAAGCACAGATGCCCTCGCATACGTAGTTGATTCCAAAGTCCAACGACTTAACGCGACAAGAATTTTTATGCTGAGATCGAACAACGTACGTTGCCAGTTTAGTTGAGCATAAGTGGCCAGGTCTATACAGCCACATTGTAAGAATTAGGAAGTTAATTGGGGTGTTAACATTTTAAAAGTGGGAAGAAGAATCAACATGGTGGGCTATTTGGGCAGGATACTGTCCGTCTCTTCTGTGTGTGGACAAAAACAAGCCTTACGGAATTGATGCAGTCCTTTTTAGATTTCGTGATACAAATTTTGTATCAGCCAAATTTCCGTTTTCTTTGGTCCCAGCAAGTCACTGCTGTTAGTCACTCGCAAGTGATTTTGGCATTCAAAGGAATTTGTATTTCTGCAAAGGGCTGTAGGGAGAGAGTAGTGTGCTATCTAGTGTAGGTTGTCATTGCATGTGTGCGTGCCTTGAGAAGTAGTTCCCGACTTCCTCCTCTGTTGGGTGTCGACTTTGACTCAGATTTGTAGGCCCCTTTTCAGCTTTTGCAAAGAAGTTCTCTTAATATTCTTGAGGCCTATTTTTATCCTTTAACACGGTCCATCTATATTGTGCTTTCTCAAGTTTGGTATTTTTAACCTGGAAGGATCTCTAGCCCCTGTTGATTGAACCACAGGAACCTTAGCAGGTGTCTTTGGTACCTGTGTTAACGAAAAGCACGAATTTGTAATGTTCCTTGTTCTCCAGACTTGGTTGTTTTTTCTCTCGTTACATTCTTTTTAGTATCTGTGTCCCCAAAAGTAATGTGTACAGAATAAGGAAAACTATTCCTTTTATTTTACAGCTTGTTTGCTTTTAGTTCTGTCCTGGACACTGTGCTACTTAGACCTAAAGAAAAGAATGATGTAGAATATTATAGTGAAACGCAAGAGCTACTGAGGACGGAAATTGTGAATCCTCTGAGAATGTAAGCAGAAGACCCAGAATTGTTTTGTCTTTCGATGGTGTCCAGTGCTCTGTTGTTTGGTACAATAAGTAATTCACACCTGCTTTCATTTATTAAGGGATGGGTGGAAATTCGTTCTCTCGATAAAGCATTTACAGTTTTTTCACCTTTACTGTCTTATTTAATTTCTCCCATCTGGTCACGGTGTAGCACATAGTGTATGCCATTAAATGATGAAACCGTTTTGGTACGGTATAGTACAATTTAGTAATTGCAGTAGGTTCGAAAAGCTGATAAGAAGTACTTGTCTTCTGCTCGAGCTTATTCCAGCCGTGTGCCTAACAGTACACCCTCTGGTCTAATTCGCATGTCTGGCTTCTTAAACTTAATTTTATCTGGAAAAAAAGGAGCAAGGGAAATTTTTATTTAATTTTTTATTTTATTTGAGAGAGAGAGAGAGAGAGAGGCAGGGCTTGAGCAGGGGAGAGGGACAGAGAGGGAGAGAGAGAATCGGCGTGGAGCCTGACATGGGGCTTGGTTCCATGACCCTGATCATGACCTGAGCCAAAATCAGGAGTCAGACGCTCAAGTGACGGCCAGATGCCCCATAGAAAATTTTAATTTGTAGAATAGCTAGTGTTGAATACTCTTGTGTTGGAAACAGATGAGGTATATTTTATTAACACATTTCTTGGTTAAAGGAATCCATTTAGGCCTCCCTGCAGATCGCTTAAAAAAGTGATGTTTTTGGTCATTTCCTAGTTTGTGAATTATAAATATATCTTTGGTCACTGAAAGCAATTTGTAATGATACAAGCACAAGTAATAAGACATTAAGTAAAGACTTTTCATAAGTGGTGATAGCAGGGATACATGATAATGCCACATTATAAAATTTAAACTATGAAGTTAGGGCCATACATTATAAAAGACATCTGTTCACTCAGGAATATAGAGAGCCACCTATGGAATTTAAAGTCCATATTAAGATGAATTTTTAAGTCTTGTGGCACATTTTTATTGTTTAACAATTAAAATTTAAAAGAGTTTGAGGGGTGCATGGGTGGCTCAGTCACTTAAGTGTCTGACCCTTGAGTTTGGCTCAGGTCATGATCTCACGGTTCGTGGGTTTGAGCCCCACATTGGTCTCTGAGCTGGCAGCATGGAGCCTGCCTATGATTCTCTTCCCTCTCCCTCTCTCGTGCTCACTTGTTCTCTCTCTCAAAATAAATAAATAAAACTTAAAAAATTGTTTGATACAAGATTTTGATGAAAAAGTGCAAAATATTGAACTATAAAGAGCATTCAGAATGGCCTACTATGTAACATGGCGAAGAAAGTAAATTATAAGGGAATAAATTTCCCTACTTCTGTCTTTTGTTTTCTTTACATTCTGTAATGGTGAAAATAACTGGTTTTTTTTTTTTTTTTTTTTTTTTTTTTTTACCCTTTAAGATAATTATGAGGCTTGATTTTTACATCAGTTATTTTATCTTATGCAAATTTTTAAATATACCCTCCGTTTCTTCCCCCAAGTAATTGATAATGGAACAAGACAGATCAAATCTAAAACTCTGAGTCATGTTACCACTTCCTTCCTTCCGTCCCAGACACCCTAAGTCCATCAATAGACATTACTTGGATACTGTTGTCCATCCAGTTGAGAATCATGATTAACCAGACTCTGTCGCCCTGTCCACAGCAAGGACCTTGTTGTGATCGAGATTCCCTGTGTCTGCAGTGTTCGTACCACTATTATAGCTGACTGGTTTTATTTGGAACTGAAACCCCTGCTTTCTCTATTTCAAGCTTCTCAAAGGCAGAGATCCTTTTTTTCCACCTTACTCTTTTTGTATTCCCAGAGGCTGACAGGTTAGATTACTGTGTAAGTGGTGGGTGCCCAGTATATGTTGGTTGCAAAGGGTTAATGAGTGAGTGAAGAGTCAATATACAAAATGGATATAAGATTAGCTAGTTCCCATTTTTCTCGTTAAACATGTGGTGGCCTCTAAGGTTTCTTCTGAAGGCGTTTTTAGCATAGAATTTTGTCAGGGATTAACCTGAATGTGTTAAATGTGTCCTGTATTCAGACAAAGATGAGAGAAAACGTCATGCACTCATGCACGTGATGACCGGCTTGATTGCACACCTTCAATAGTTTCTTATCAGTGCCCTTTGCCATTCCCTTTGGTGGCTTTTTGTCCTTTGGTATTGAAAGGACTCTCTCTTTAAGTTGTTTTTTAAAGTAAATGCTTTGCTTTCTTAAGCAAATAGTATTAAAAGACCAGTCTTGGGCAGGGGGCAGCGCCTGGATGGCTCAGTCTGACTTCAGCTCAGGTCATGATCTCACAATTCATGGGTTCAAGCCCCGTATAGGGCTCTGTGCTGACAGCTCAGCGACTGGAGCCTGCTTCGGGTTCTGTGTCACCCTCTCTCTCCACCCCTCCCCCACTCATGCTCGCTCACTCTCTCTCTCTCTCTCTCTCTCTCTCTCAAATAAATAAACATGAAAAAAATTAAAAAAAATAATCAATAAAAGACCAATCATTGTACTTTAAAAATGCTTTTTCTATATTAGTATATGACAGCTATTTTTAAGGCGTAGTAGTTAGTGTCTGGGATAATTCTCATGCTAGATTTTTAACTTGCAAGCGTCAGGAAGTAGCCTGTAATTGTGATTTTCAAAATAATTGTCTAGCCTATTAATTTATGTATGACATGTTGGAATTATAGAAGAATGTGATTATCAAAAGTGCTATACTAATTTAATGTATATACCAGTGCTAATTGTTTGTTATCAACGTAGATACGGATATGTGTGTGCAACAAAGATTATGAAACTGAGGAAAATACTTGAAAAAGTTGAGGCTGCATCAGGATTTACCTCGGAAGAAAAAGGTGACTCTTAATTTATAGGCTATGCATTCAAAATAACTTGAAAGCATATGCTAAATTATTGGTGGAAATGTGTGTCTCTGTAGCTTTGGGGGTTTTATTTTTAAACTAGAAATTCCTTTCCATGTGAAGTGCGTTTTTTAAAAAGTTTTTCCCTAAATTCCAGTTAGTTAACATACAGTGTAATATTAGTTTCTATGTGCTGTGCAGTTTTGTCCCCTTTTTGTAAAATGCTTTACCTCTTCTAAAAGTGAGTGATACATGGGAAGCCGTCTAGTTGCGGTACCTTAAGGGAATAAATAGGTTTTTTCTTTCCTTCCAGTGTGATATTTGGCATTGTTTCCCTTTCTGTGCTGAAGGGTTGCATTGGGTCTGTCCCCAGTTTTCCAGGTAGCTTTTCTTGTTATAAAGGGAGTCAAAAAATGGCTAACTGGAATGAAGCTTATGGTCAGAGACCATATTTTAATCTATTCTGAGCTAATGGATTTGCTCAGAGATCCAGCTCCTGACTGTGAACATGTAAGCAGCACACTGTCACCAGCTGTAATGTTAAGAGACTTGATAATTCGTTAACTCACAGGAAAAAAACAAAGTTACATTTCCAGTTTTATTCTACTTACCCCCTCAGAAGAAATTAAGGTGATTTCATTATACATGAATTATTATACCTTTTCATATGCAGTAAAGTTATAACAAAATTAGACTGTCGTACTTTATCATAATTATTTAAATACCCTTTATATTTTTCATAGGCAGGAAAACCTGAGAACTGTGCTTTTAATTAAAACAAATTGATTATGAAAATGAAGTCAGAATAAGAATATAACTATTATAAAAGAATAATTTAAAAATTTTGTCTGTGACTTGAGTTTTTATTTTCTTCTAGATCCTGAAGAGTTCTTGAATATCCTGTTTCATCATATTTTAAGGGTAGAACCATTATTAAAAATAAGGTAACTTTTAAATTATTACGGAAGCATTGGAAAAAATAGTCTTCATTTTCTCTGCTGTCATTCCATAGAAATGATTTCTTTAGTGATTACATAATATTGTATTTGTTTAGGAATCTTAATATGCTAGGTTCCTACAATGCAAATTAATTTAACTATTTAATTAATTTGATCATTGTCCTCGCCATAGTATCATACTTAACTGGAAGAATGAATCCAGTGTAAATTTGTGCTTTTAATTTTAACCCTAGTAATAAATGTCATTGCAAATCATTTTCTTATAAATCTGAACATATCTTATAATTTAATCAATGAAAGGTTCTAAGGGAAATTAAAGATTCTGAGAGAATCTTATTCTCCCATCCAAGTACTAACCAGCCCCAACCCTGCTTAGCTTCCGAGATAAGACGAGATCGGGCGCGTTCAGGGTGGTACGTCCGTAGACAAGAGAGAATCTTATTCTAACCCAATGAGATACCACGAGAATATGGTTTTGACTATCTGTCACTCAGAGAATTAATTTAGCCTCATAGCAGCTCTCTTGTTCCCTGGTTTGTAACTTACCTTTTTTTCTCCTCTGTCTTGAATGACAGTCTTGAATCTGATGCACCCAGGTTCTTAGTGAGATATTCTAAATGGATGAACTTTGTGGATGGTTTAGTGTTCACAGTCTACATGCTGGACCCTCTTACAGTGTAGCTTGGGTTTCTCTGTTGAAAATCTTGCTCATTGGGGCGCCTGGGTGGCTCAGTCGGTTGAGTGTCCGACTTCAGCTCAGGTCATGATCTCACTGTTAGTGAGTTTGAGACCCATGTTGGGCTC